ATTACATGCATGTGTCGCGGATTGCCTCGCGCCGCGGACCTCCCCGCGCCATCGCGGATCGCGTAGCGCCTCGGTCCTCCCCGCGCCATCGCGGATCGCGTAGCGTCGCGGTCCTCCCCCTACCCGCGCGAATCGTCGCAGAATATCTCCTTCCCCGCGCCCCGTGGATCGCCAAGCGCTGCGGAATAATAAACGCGGAACTCCTCGACATCGTTCACCTTGATAAGAAAGTCATCAGCCAGGTTTCGGCGCTTGACCCGTGACTCATAACAAGGAAAATAAGAATACGCGTCCAGGTGTTCGCGCTAAAAATGACAGGTCAGCACCTAGATATCTGTTACATGTCACGTAGTGACAGGTCAGCACCTTGCGTGACGTCAAGGTCACGTACTCTCCCTCCTCCCGCGGTCCCCTCGCCACGGAGTACCCCCCTCCCCGCTGTCCCCTCGCCTGAGCCCCCCGCCCCGCTCCCCCCTCGCCTGAGTTAGAATCCCCCTATATACCCTACTGTTACCTAAGAAAATCTCGTTATTCACGACATCACGACTCGATTAACTCAATTCGGCTTGCTTCGATTTCCGAGTCGCCGAAACCGAAGCCGTTTCGGCCAGCTTTGGCTCGGCCATACCGATACCAATACGTACGCATGTAGTGATGAGAAGTAGTGAAAGTTATCACGTGCTACTATCTAGCTACTGCTATATTACTTCATAGCCGCCATAGTGGTACTCAACAAAAGACAAATCGACATTATCGGTACACGACAATTGATTAAGCTAGCCATCAAGTACGTTTAGGGCTCCGTATTGGGTAATTAATAGAAAAAGAAGAAGAGAACACTGCTCTGTAGTTACACTAACTGCCTTCATCTTTCATTTAACTGCTGTGATCACACTTTGGTAAGCGGTAAATTCTGGATCTTCTACAAATTTATAATAAAATTAAAATCTAGCGTTTTATCTTTGTCGTTATCATCAATCGCGAATTGAAAGCTGTAAGTTCTGTGTGTAAGTGCAATCTCTTCACGTAATATTTCTATTACTGTTAAATAGTCCCCATTAGAGAGCCTCTAAGGAAGAGAGTGGCGAATTGATTTCCTGTATTAGTCAAAGGCGTCAAAAGCTGCTATCACGTGATTGAGTTCGCCACTCTTTCCCTTAGAGGCTTTCTAATGCTCATGGGTTATTTAACTGTTTGCTATTGTGTTATGTAGCATGAAACAGAAGGTATTTTATCTTTCCGCTGTTTTATTTACTGTTAACTTATTGTATAAAGATCACCATAATAACTTTAACTGCTATTCTCTGCTGTTCTGTTCAGGTTAATTTTACTAAAATCACTTTTTTCCTTTTTACATTTTTTGTGATGAATAAGCATTTTGGTATTTTATGGCTTTGTTTTATAACTCCAGAACATTAATTAAGATTAAGTAATATTAATTAATGTTCTTGAATTATAAAACACAGTTATAAAATACAAAAGCGCTCATTCACAACTTAAAAATGCAACATAAATAAAAATTATTTTGAGTCAAATAGACGAATGAAACAACAGGACAGAAGTATGCAAACTATTCTACAAATAAGTTTAGAATGTGAATCAAAATACGAGTGGAACAATCTTTTAACTTGAAAGCAAGCTGAATAAGCCGCAATGACCATAATTTTCAATTACGTACATACATTTAGAGACTAACATGTCTTACATGAAATTATATTTTTCCAGAACTAGTAATGTATGTTTTATAAAAAACGATATAACTTCATGTGTTAATAAGAATATTAGCCAAACAATTATGATCAAAAATAATAAAAATCTTACTCATAATATTAGTATAAACACTATAAACCTTTATTGTAATAAATTACAATAAGTTATAATGTTATATGTAATAACTCGATTTAATACTATATGATGTAACTCTATATAATATATAGTGTGACCGTTCGAATCTGTTAAATCTGTGCAGCGGATAGCCGCGGGAATTCTAGGGTCCGGCGGTGGGTGTCTCGAAAAGAGAGAGAGTCGGTTTTAATCTTAACTATTAAATTATATTCAAAACTTAGAATTACAAGTAACCGCTTACAACTAACTTATCGCTAACTTATAACTACCCTTATAACTACGGCCGTTCTGACGGCGGTTCGCTATTTTATAATCTGGCGCTGAGGCGCTTTGAGATCTATGCGCGCGACGGCGATCGATTGGTCGATATGTCGGCGGCGGCGCGGTATTGGCGACGCAAAGATTTCCCGAGCGCTCCTGGCGGCTAGATCTTGAAGTAGCGTAAGTGAGACATATGTAAGGCGGTGGAAGTACTAGGCGCACGTGTTAGTGTTTATTATCACATTTTCTGGAATAATGTCGAAGATTCTTTCTGTTGTGGATCCCATGAACGTCACTAAAGGCTTTGTACGTCCAATGCGTGAGGGCGAGCAAGTACTCGAGAGTGATTTAATTGTATCAGTAGGACTAAAGGAAAAGAAAGATAGTGTACTACACATTCAGGCCCTCGTCCTGAGAACCTCGGGTCTTACTACTCAACATCCTTATTTAGTTGAACTTTGGGTGAACTTGGAAGAAGAATATGGATCACGGTTGGTAAAAGACCAGTCTCTAGAGTGTGGCTGCCCAGCTGGGCAATCCGAAAAATGTAAACATATTGTAGCTGTTCTTCTCTATCTAACAAGGTTAGCCTTCTCAAGTGTCCTGTTGTCTTGCCTTTTTATTTTCATTGCTAAGCACTGACTTCACTATAAGAAAAGTATATTAAGAATGGATTTTTTTCAGGGTGGAGGAAGCAGAATTAGCTGATCTAAGTTGCACAGACATCGAACAACAGTGGGGAGCTCTCAAAGCCTCCACGTTGAAAGAATATGAAGCAAAACGACTAACAGATTTGTGTCATGTTAAACCACAAAGTAATGTTTATGTGTCTGCTATGCCTGAAGTTACTAAGGACATGGAGAAGAAATGGGCTGAACGGCTATCTCGTTGTAAGA